GCCGAAGGGTTTGGCGTGCGGCAGCTCTCTTAACTGGACATGACTCAGAGGCCCTTCCGGACCTCTAGTCTGTTGGGTTTTTTTTTCTTCTAGTAAACCATGATAAATAATTATGTGCTTTGTTCAGCACACGGCACAGTACACGCTTATTGCTTCCACAAGACAACTGCAAAATACTTGACCAAAGAAGTGATGTTCGACTGCGTGGGCTTTTGCAACATTAGAAACATATAATTCCCACTCCCTTGTGTGTCTGCAGCGTCTCTCAGCCTGCAAACTTTGTATGGTTTGCACAACTCATCCTGCCTTGCGCATCTGCTCTGGTTCCTCCAACACCTTTTCAGGTGTGAGGATACCTTCAGCCTCCTCTCGCTGCCTTCTTCAGCCTCCTCTCGCTGCCTTCTTGGTGGTAGTGATGTTTCCTCTCTCAGGCTTTGGAAATACACTTGGGTTGTCCTGTAGGTGGTGGACTGGTGTCCTGTGTGTCTATGAACGCCGCCAGCAAGCAGAGGAGATGTGGCAGTGTTTTTTCAAGGCACTGGATGAGGTATTGGGATAAGTCACTGATACTTGATGTATCCAGTATCTTGGAAGAGCACCAAGAATTCAAAAATAGATCCAACTACAGGGTCTGTTTCAGATGAATATCTGAGTTCTTTTAAGGGGTAAAGTTCTTGATTTATTAATTGCATGTCATTAATATCTGCAATTGCAAATCAGAAGTCTAGTCTGAAAGATGGAATTTTGTAGGCTTTTTTTTACACCCTGTTAGCATGTGGTCATCTCTTCTCTCTCTTCCATTTCACTGTGTTTAGGAGGATTTTTCTGTTTTATTTGCTGCTAGGAGGATTTCCTGAGATGTAGTCTGAGAGCTGCTGGTCTGAGTGCAACATTCAGCACTTCAGCTGTCTCCTAAGGCAGCCTTAGAAAAAAAACAACCCAAAGCCCAGCAACCCCAACACCCAAAAAAGCTTCATCTGAAATATGTTCCTGCACTGTTGTGATTAGAAATTATGGTCTGCTTGATTTCTAGACATCCGTTTTAGTCTCACTACCAATATTAGACTGAGTTAGGAATTCTTGATTTTGTCTAACAGGTTTTCTTCTTCCCCTTCTCCTTTTTTTTTCTTTTTTTTAAAAATTTTAATTTTAGGTGATAACTTTTAAGTTTGCTGCCACTTACTACTAAAAATGGTGGTAGAAAAATAATCCCCTTGCCATCTTAGGAGGGAGGAGTGATATAAGAGAGTATAGAAATAAAATTGAATAAAAACTTTGAAGGCCGTCCAGGACACAAAGAAGGGTTAGTTTCCTTGAAGATGTGGAAAATTACAGTTCAGTTGGAAACCTCAGTAAAAACCAGTTGGAAAGTATTGTTTATCAGAAGTGCTGACCAAATGTGAACTTCAGGTCAGGTCGCTGAATGCTGGGTGCTAGCGCCTGAAAATCATGCAGCAGGATTAGTAGTACAGTTGAGTCAGAGGCATTGCTTTAGCCTAGTTTTGGTGGGGGCTTTGTTTGTATCATGCAAATATGTGGGAATGTGCATGTGGTTGGTGATGTGTGAAGTATGTTCTCAATACACGCCTGTGAAAAATTTTCCAGACTTAACTTGAAGCAGAGGTGCATGATTTGGGGATGTCTCATAAACTGGAGATACAGGAAGAAGGAAAGTTGAACAGGGAAAATAAAAATTGATTTCTTATTCACCCAGCCTGCACTCTTCCCACCAGCTCTTGAGCTATCTGAAAACTGTGAGGACTTTTTCAAAGGTTATTGATTGTAGGTGCAATTATATTTTTAAGGTTATTCTTTTCTTTAATGATGGATACAGGCTTGTCCAATTCCCATAGTCACATTGATCTGGAATCTCTTGAGGCTGAATAAGATCTTTACACGTGTTTCCTTCTGTTGGGTTTAGGCTTGGCATTGTTCATTACTGCTACATCTTCTGTAAAATAGTATAGGATTGCTTAGGTCACATTCAACTCGTTTTCCCCTTATTAAATGGTTTGTTGTGATGGCTTATCTGCTGCTCGTTTTATTGTAATGAAGAAAGAACCGGAAAAGTCTTCCTCCTGCGGAGCAGTAATCTTTCTGTTACCACATGAGGTGGATATTAAGCCCTTCTGGTCATGTATGGCTCTTAAATGTCTTGCTTCTGATCGCTCTTTATCAGTGAATCTGTTTTCAGCCAGGCATGGTTATCCCAGCAGCTTTGAAGAACATGGCAGATAGGTTGGTGTGAGCTGCTAAAAGGATACGGTGGGCTGGTTTTACAGATATATTAAGGAAGGGGGGTGGAAGTTAGAGGTACTAAGAGAAATGCTGCTGAGGGTCCTTTGGAGACACCTCTGGGTACATAGGGTGTCTGGGTAGGGCAGAGTAAAGAAAAATCTTTGATGTGAAATCAAATCCAGTGGACCTTAGGGTGTCCTAAAGGAATGAGCTTTCTTATGGCCAAAATTCCTATGGGAACAGAGGGACCAGGTTTTTTCTCTGACAAATTAACGTAGAGGAGAACACTTGGAGTGTTATCTTCTAAATAAATTTTTTAATTCATCTTTTGACCTGTCCTCCCCAGTTGCTGCACCTTGCAGGATGTAGAATGGTACAGCTCAGGCAAAAATCGCAAGCGAGCCATGTCTTGGGCATTACTGAACATACTCGTGGCAAGTGTTAATTTTATTTCACCCGCAAAGCATCACTTCATGCAACACAGTATTTGCCTACTCTCGTGGCAAGTGTTAATTTTATTTTCACCCGCAAAGCATCACTTCATGCAACGCAATATTTGCCTTTGTTGAGCATCAGGTTTTGTACAGAGGTTGTCCTAATATTGCTAGAGTTATTCATGGTTTTATTGTACAAAGATGCGACAATTTGAACCTTCATCAGGATTAGGGTTAGGAAACAGGATTTATGATACAAGGTTCAAGGAACTTAATATCTTTAATTTATCGAAGAGGAGGATTGTGACCTCTACTTCTCTGGGTGTCTGTTAGGAAACACTGACAGTAGCTACTGTTCTAGTGTAAGCAGCCAAGGGTTTGATAAGATGCAGTGGTGAAGGTCAAGGCATGGGAGTGGAGGTAATGAACTACTGGAACAATCCATCAAGATTTGTGGTGGACATTGCATCATCCCTGGAAAACCTTTAAAATCAGAATGACTTGTTTTTTCTAAAAGCTTTATGTTCCAGTTCAACCACAACTACTGACCTTGAAGTAGGTATTAATTAGTGGACGACTCCTCGTCTGCGTTGTTCAAGATGTCAGACTACCTGTCTACTGTGATATCTTAAAATTTTATGCCCATAGGAATAATAGATTCATACTTCATGTTTTTCTTCTTGTGGCAAAGACCAAATTTAAAAAAAAAAAAAGTTTAAAGAAAAAATAAGTTGAGCACAGCTCCGGCAGCCAAGGATTTTGTTGTTCTGATTTTGACTCTGATAACGCTTGTTGTGTGGCCTTGGGCAAGTTATTAATCCACGTGTGCCTCAGTTTGCCAGTTTGTCCGATCTGGATAACTTCACTCACCTAATAGGATGACGTGTTTTTAACACGCTGTTAATGTAAATGTGGAATAATTACGAGCTTTTTTATGGCTGTTTTGTTTATGACAAAGGAGAATATTTGTATTTAGAGTAGATGCCCATTTTCCAGACCTACTTCATTTAACTTCTGGGAGATGGTTTGACTCTTCAAAAGAGGATTTTTCTTGACTTGGGGCCACCGCTGTGGTACTCTGTCCCGCCAAGTTCAATGTTCTTCTGGATAGAATAAAATGTGTTTATGGATTTTGATGAAACTTGAAAATTCTTGGATTGTTAAACTTGCTGCGTTACGGGAAAATGAATCAAGTTCTGACTCACAGAGGAGGACTGACCTTGCGGGGAGTGGGCAGCATTGTACACACTACGGTTTGGCTTACTAGGAGAGTATTTATTTGGTTGTCTCTGGCATATATTTATTCTTGTTGAATTATTACCGTTGCCTGGTGTCAGATGGTACCATTAAGGATGAGACATGGTCTTGGTGCCCCTCTCTGAATTTTTCGCTCTTTGTTAATATATATATATATGTGTGTGTGTACATTTTTTTCCCCGCCAAACCAACCATTTCCAGGCTTAAGGGTTGTCTGCTTGTTCTCAGTCCAGACCGAGGTGTTTGGGCAGCTTAAAGGCCAACAGTTTTTCTATAGGAAAAGTTCATTTTAAGCAAGAAGATTGCCATCTACATTTAAGTGTTCACAAAATCTGAAAGGTCGACAGACCAAACCCAGACAGCACACAGTGGGTGTCAGTCGTCTCCAGATATATTTACTAAAGGTGGCGAAACAACTCAAGGTATGATGCTGTTGATTTTCTCATCCCATAGGCTTTGAAAATCTGGCATTTCTGCAATGCTAGTTGAACGTTTTAAAGTGTTACCTAGCACAGCTCTTAAGAGAAATCCCTTCCATGCTCCTTCTCCCTTTGGGTCCGTGTACCATGTTCATCCCATTCTGGTGGTCCATGCTTTGTGTAATTTGTAGATGGATGCTAATGGATCTCTGTGGTCCTTGTAGAGCTGGTCAACCCATTTTGTCCCTTCTAACCCTTCAGCTGTCCTAGCTCTGCACCAGCCACTTCCCCAGACATTCGGGTCGTGCTCTGCTCTCATCTCTCGTGACTGCAGCTCCTTCAGCTTTCACCGCTCTCTTGGGTCTCAGGCAGATACTTCACCTTTCTATCCCCTCCTAACCTTGCAGTCTTTCCTGAATGTGTCCCCTGACTCCTTCCAGGTATATCAGTTGTGGATTTAATTTCCATTAAAATTTCCTTGAAGTTTGTTGTCTTCTGTTGTGCCAATACCTTAATTTAGTGGCGTTGGCAGGTTTCTGTGCTGTTTACTTCCACTCTTCACACATTTTTGTTGCCTGTCTGCTCTCTCTGTCTTTTCTGCTTTGTTGTTGTTTCCTCTTTTTTTAATGTTTGTTCCCTTCATTTCCTAAAGGATTGCAGATACAGTCAGTGGAAAATAATTGCCAAGATATTCTTCAGTCTTCTGCTCTCTCCAAATATTAAGGTACTTTGCACTTGATGTGTCTATTCACTTAATAGCTCTCTTTAATAATAACATGGACCTAATTTCTAGGCTGCCTTTGGCTTTCTTTGAAATACTTGGATTGATTTTGTGTCACTAAACTGCAAACCTGAGTTCCCTGGCTGAGTACTTACAGTTCACTAACCTTTGCTGCGGTGGAAGAAATCAGTCAAGTTCTGCTTCCCAATGGAAAAACTCCAAATTTTCCAGTCTGGTCATCTGCTGGGGTATGAAACCAGACCAGGTTTTCACCAACCTTCTTGACGTTGGACACCAGAACTAAATCCAGTATATTAGGAGAAGTTATGACAATGTTTCCATGCGTCTACGTCTAAATTGTACTACCTACTGAACTAAAAATGGCTTGCTATCCCGCCTGCCATTTCATTGCATAGCAATGCAAGAGGACGAGTGTTTTGCATGTCTGTGATACGATGACCTCCCTTAGCAGTGCAGAATAAGATACTATTGAACAATTTTTTTCCAGTTCTGCATTTCCACAGGAAAAAAAATACCCCTTCCTTTCGCTAGAGGAACAATCCATTGGACTGTGTTACCCTTAATGTGCTTAAAAAAAGAAATCATTGATAAACTTAACCAGCCATTGATTTCTTCATGTATCCTCTTGCTTCCTATATCAGCTATATACACATCCTAACATCAGATTTTTGTTTGTCAGCTTGAGCTTTTCTCTTTATTCCATTTGCCGTGTTCCCTTTTTCTTTTTTTACAGTCTCCTTAACTTCCGTCTGAGCCAGGTTGCCTGTTAACTAGCGTGGCCGCCTTTTTCAGTTGTGGGATTGTGGCTTTTGGAGCATCTAGTTAAAATGTTCTTAAACAATTTTCAATTAGTCTTCATATTTTTCTGATTACGTTCTTTTTCCCAACTGATTTGGCTCATAATTGTTTTCAGCTTGGTGAAACTGGCCCTTTTTAAGAGTGTGTGTATGTATACGTATGTGTATATGTGTACTATTGGTAGTGCTATTTTATTCCTAATTTAGATGTTTTTTGGGTGCATATAGAATTGTGATCGAGTCATGGTGACTTGCATTTTAGTTATCAAAAAAGTGGGATAAAACATGGCTGCTGGTTAGAAACTCTTTCTTTTTCCAAATGGGCACTAGCACAGGGGATGCTGATTTGGGGATTTATTGGCATTTAGCAGACGGTGCTTCTGTAGTGAAGGGGCCTCATCTCCAGCCCTTTGATGGCTGAACAACCTCAGCTCCAGCTGAACTTTCCATGTGGTGTGTTATATCCGAAAGCTTAGTGCCGCGTTAGCTCGGGAGTGATTTAAAAAGATAAATGCTGCCTTCACACCGGCTTCAGAGGTGCTGTTGCCCACATCAGAGCAGCGTGCATGAGTTTCCAGGTGAGACAGGAGAAAATGGCATTGCCTCGTGTGTGCTCTGCAAAGCCGGTGGAGGAGGCACTGCCTGTAGTGGGAAGGCGGAAATTTCATATGAGTGAACTGGAAAAGTGGAGGAAAGCCCAAGTTACTGTGGAAGATCAAGGCAACATGGCTGCAGCCTGGTCCAAGTCCAGTTAGGGTCACTTGGAGATCTTTCCTGTAACCTTCACAGCAAATTGAAACCAAACTGGGACAACATTTGTGGTGGAGTGAGCAGGAGAGGGCTGAGATGGTGGAGGTGAGGCAGGGAAACGATACGAGAGAACCAACGTGCAACAGCCACCCATGGAAGCAGGGCAGGTATCGATTCCTGACCCTCTCTTCCACCAGCGCAGCCCCAGTGAGAGATCCTGCACCAGGAGCCGGTGAGATGTCCTGCACCGAGCCAGCATCTCTCCCCGGAGCTGTGCACTACAGATAACTCCTTGGCTGGCTCAAGCCTGCAGCGTTGGGGATGCATTTGGAGGCTCTGATGGGAGGGACTGTCCCAGATTACCCGCCAGCTGACCTTTTCCTTGAGCTGGATGGAAATGATCAGTGCTGTGAATGTAAATGATCAGCAGTTGGGCTCCATCTGCAGCTGGTTAATTACCCGTTCACACAATATGTTGTTAGGGGTCATCTGGTTCCAGTTTCACCATAAACAGAAGTAAATGTTGAGAACATATTTTTCTACATCCAGTTTCACTTGTTGTGGATACTTGAAATAGTTTGCAACCCACATCTTTTGGTTTTCGAGGAGGGCTTTTGGCCAGAGAGCCCTGTGACCATTTGAGATTTTTTTTTTTATTCTTTAAAAAGTGCCCTGGAGGTTGCATTGTAGGGACTTTCCTTATGCAAAACATAAAAGTGCTGTTTTTTGAAATTATAACCATATTTTTCATTAAAATCAGTTGGAGTCCCAATAAACAATCGACTCCGAAAATTTTCCAAATGTTTGCTGCAGTGCTGTTTCTATTTTTAATTATTTTTTAAAAAAGTGTTTTTCTTAAAAACACAGCTTGGCTTATAATTTAAAGAAGCGATCTAGTAAATCAGAAAAAATGCCCATGTATATAGCTCTTTATTGCAATATAATTAAAACCTACTGTACATTTGAATGTAAGAATACTTCTGTAGCAGTGTCCGATGGTTTCTGCCATTTGGCTTATCGTGGGAACTTCTCTTTTTTTTTTTTTATTGACTCCCCTCAAAGTCTCTTCCAGCATGTTTATACTTTTGTTTTCTATAAATTGAGAACTGTGTGCACATAGAGGGAGATATTCAAAACTCTGCCAAGTAACAGTGAGGCACAGAAATGCCTAGTTCATAGCACTAAGGCACAGTTTTCACCCCACATCAGTCTTTGGTATTGTAATTTTTAGACCTTATTCAGAATTTTATTGTTGTCTTGTTACCTGGTACAAGATTTGTTTGCTGTCATAAAAAACCCAAACAACTAAAGAACAACAATCCTTAGTTTTGCATCAAAAGTTGTCATATCTGCTTTATACAAAGCAAGTAAAGATGTCTTTGTAAAATATTTAGGGTTAAATTTTTTTATTGCAAGCTGGAGATTGAAGAGTGGTAGAAGGTATTCTGGCAGAGTTTCTGTAAAATGCCAAGTGTCCGATGAAAATACTCCTTTTTAGAAAGAACCAGGCCCTGGGAGAAGGCCATGTTGATGGGGAACCTCTCTCTGCTGCAAACAAAAATGGGGCGAGAGGAGGAAATTTCAGACTTTAATTTGGAGTTTACCCATCTTCGTTCTGCTTTAACCTTCTACACTGGTCACTGCTGTGTCTGCTCAGCTCAGGGGCTGAGCCAGGAAACCTGTTTCAGCTGATCTTAACCACTGGGGTGGGTGGGTTGGCTGGTTAGATGTCCAGCTTTTGCCAGATGCGTGGGATGTGCAGGTTGAATAGAATTGTAGAATGTTTTGGGTTGGAAGGGACCTCTAAAGGCCATCTAGTCCAACCCCCCTGCCGTGGGCAGGGACATCTTCAACTAGATCAGGTTGCTCAGAGCCCCGTCCAACCTGACCTGGAATGTTTCTTTTTTCACCACCCTCAGCGTAAAACATTTCTTCCTTCTATCTAGTCTGAATCTACCTTCTTTTAGTTTAAAACCGTTGCCCCTTGTCCTATCGCTACAGGTCCTGCTAAGAAGTCTGTCCCCATCTTTCTTATAAGCCCCCTTTATATATCGAAAGGCTGCAAGAAGGTCTCCCCAGAGCCTTCTCTTCTCCAGGCTGAACAACCCCAACTCTCTCAGCCTTTCCTCATAGCAGAGGTTTTCCAACCCTCTGACCATTTCTGTGGCCCTCCTCTGGACCTGCTCCAACAGGTCCATGTCTTTCTTGTACTGAGGACATGCTTGCTGGAGGTCTGTTGGAGACAGCAGCTGAGCTTGTGGACTTGTTTATTTTTCTTATCTATGGACACCAAGAACCTTCACAAAGCTGCTAGCTAATAGCGGTCGTGCTTCTGGGTGCAAAGCTTCTGTGACATGTGTGTTTCACATGGTTCAAATCATCCTGTGCAACCAAGGAAGCAGTTCTGTGCTTCTGGGTTTTGGCTCAGCAAAGTGGAGTGTGCCCAAGCCCAAGGAATTTGTGGAGCTGGTGCCCAGCATTGGAGTTTCATTGACATCTTCACCATAGAAAATTGCTCTCTTGCCTCCAAAGGCAAAGAAAGAGGGAAAAGTGAATTTGCTGAAGTAGTTTCCATGGTGTTCACTTCTAGCGAACGATCCAAGCCATGAGTGCTGATGCGATAAATCCACATAATGATTTTGCTTTTCACCTGTTCCAGGGTCATTTCTGTTGTGGGACTTGTTTGAAAGTGATATAAAATGTCTGTTTTTCATGGGCCTCTTGGACATTCAGCTGTAGCGCTCAGCAGATGCAATATGTGCAGATAACCATGTGAAATTTCTACTTGATGTTAACATGTTTTCATGTTTCTTGGGGAACATGAATGGCAAAGTGGGATTCTTGGTCTGAGTCCTCAGGTGGAGGCAACATGTTTCAACTTGCGTTTAGGTCTCTTTGCTTAAGAGTGATGGCTTTAATCTACTTAGTAAGTGTCTGTAATTATCAACAAATACTTATTACCCTGTGAATGGGCGAGGGTCCAGTGTAACAATTTTGATTTTCTGCTGAGGACCAAATACCCTTTGTGATAGGAAATTTCTTGGGTCGGTTCAAATACACTATGCATACCTTCCCATACCTCTTAACGTGCTGTCTTGCTCGTGGCCAGTAGGTCTCTAGGAATTTCTGTGGTCTTCCTGGAGTCTTCCTACCTCCTGAGCTAGGTAGAGGATCTTAAATATTGAAGTATCACCTGTATGCATTGCTTTAGCCAGGCTAAGCTGCCTCTGGCTATAAATGCGTGGAAGGAATTTTGCTCTTGTCCTCTCTGTTAAAAAGACAATTGCTTTTCTTGGGTGATTCTGCTAAGCAACGTTATCTTCCTCCCGGCTTTGTAAGTCCTAGGCACTGAGAATTTTCACTAGACCTCCCACAAGGATGGCTGTTGTGTCAGAGCCACTGAAATGCCTTTCTTGGTGGCTCCATTCAGAAGAT